CAACGCACATGCACATTCACGAACACACCGTACACACGTGAACGGCCACGCACGCACACACGGCGAAGTGAGAGCATGGGAAACAAAAGATGAGAGTAGAAGAGGATGATAGATATGAGAGTAGTACACAACTCAGCAGTAGGTAGACTGCATGCGCGCACGCACCCGCACACTATACCTCCTAGATCCATCTCGCCATCAACAACTGTCTCATCATCCATGCGTCGTCGCATGAAAATCTATCGGCACGTGGTTCGTGAAAACCCCGAAAATCGGAATGCGACAGCTCGTTGACCGCGCTCAGCGCTGCTAATTACACATAGCTATGCGATGACGTCTATAGCTATACGCGTAAGTGACGACACGTAACATCTATGCTTAAGGTTGGCTGTGACCACATCGCCGCGCTGTATACGTACATGTGTAGCGACTGATCCGTACGGGCACGCGTATGCAAATTACTCTGGCAGTCGCGTGATTTATGATGCGGGCTCCCTGAGCTGTACGAACGCGCGTACGTCGACGTCCCGACATGACACCAGCCGCTCATGTAATGATCGACCATAGACGTCGTTACGGTCACGGCGCAAATACACAACACTCACCTGCTTCGCCACCATGCTACGGCTCTTCACACGAACACAGACACACACACGCGCGCACACACACATGCACGCACTCGCGCGCGAACACACACACATACACTTCGATGTGAACGATCGGGATTCGAACCGCTCGACCCCGGGTCCCGGGTACGGTTCCCGCCGCGTCGCGCGCGCGAGATCGAACGCAATACTACTACCGCCTTATAACGTCCTGTGTGCGACTTACGCTTCAGGGAGCGGGGCCTCGCCTGCTTTCGTCGGTTGGACATAGTCTATCCGCGTCCTCGGCGCTCGCACAGCTGCAGTCTGCCACTCCTAGTTTGTTCGCTTTCACAAGGGAGACTGCTGCGGCAGAGCGGGGCTGACTCGCACGGCTGGCTCGGCGCAGCATGCGGCTTTACGTCACCGCCCAGCTCCCCCGGGACTCCAACCGCTGCACAAATACTAATCAAACGGGGATGTAAACCGGAGTGCGCGCCAGGAGGCGAGTGCAATTTGAAAAGCCTGGCGTCCCGGGGGGCCGCGCACGCCGAGCTGGGGACCGTAACGACGCAACCCGCCGCTGCGAACGGGCGCGGCAACCATGCGGCGTTCTACGGTCCTCTCGTTGGCACGAACGCCATTGGAAAGCGGCGCGCTCGATTCTTTCGTGTATAGGGGCGTGTGCGCGCTCTCTCTCTCCATCTTTCCCTCTCTCTCCTGCAGTCTGTCTGTCTATCTCGCTTTCTTTTGTTCTCTCTCTTCCCCCATCCCCTAGATCTCTCTCTCTCTCTCTCTCTCTCTCTCTCTCTCTCTCTCTCTCTCTCTCTCTCTCTCTCTCTCTCTGTCTGACTATCTATCTATCGCCCCTTCCTCAAGATCTCTTCCCGTCTAACCTATTGCCCCTCTTCCTCTTCCTCACTGTTTCTCCCCCTTTCTATCCATCTATCTCTCGCACTCATGCACACTCCCTCTCTCACACGTACACACGCACGCACGCGACACACACTCACACACGCGCGCGCGCACGCACGCACACACACACACACACACACACACAGACACTACGGAGAACCCTGCGGGTGACATGCCTGAGGGGCCAGCCCACACGTCGTATCCGCACTGTTGGCTTAGCAGCACGAAGCGGTGTTTGCACGGTAATATAACCTAATACAAGCACCTTCTTCCGTCCGAACACTTTTGCAGAGAAAACCGTGAGGCGGGGGGATCGAGATAACCGATAATAACCGAGATAACCGTGTTTGCCGCCGCATTGCAACGTAAACCGTCGTCCCGAACTTTCGGCTCGTCGCGCCTCTTTTAGGACGCAGCATCACTCGTATCAATACGCTAATCCCGTGATGTCTGTCGTGTTAACACGGTTTGTCAACGCTTCGAGGATTCGGAGTGAAAATTAAGAGAGTTAGGATAAGACGAAGGATGATGTTTGCTTGGAGGGGGAAGTAAGAAGAATGATTGGAAGGGGGAGTAAGATGAGAAGGGACTCGTGATGAGAGTAGGACTGGCTTAATAGAGTGTCGACGGCTGCGGGTTTACTCGCGCGTGCGTGCGTCTCTCTCTCTCTCTCTCTCTCTCTACACAATGTATATATATATATATATATATGGGAGGCGGGTGAACAGCGCGTCGTCACCAGAGACAGAGACGGTGGATCAGATCATGTACCTCTGGGCTGACGTTCACGAATGATCCGCAGATGATCAGAGACTAATCGCCCCGACGGCCGGCTCGAAGAGAGCTTTAAGAACTCGAACGCTGACATGCGATTTTCGAATGCATCGGTTGACATCACGCGACAGGACCGTGAACTGAATGTGTGTTTCCCTAAGACATTCGATGCGGAACTAACGAATGTCAAGTGCCCCGTGACAACAGTCGTGCTTGCGCGGGCGCCGTATTCGGACTACAGTATATCGCATGCGAGCACGTTTGAATGCTTGCGGGAGTCAAGAAGCCGCCTACTTAGATTGGTACAACCTATCTTCGCCTAATCAGAAAAGGTTGCTGTGCGAGCGCGCACTCAGTGCCACGCGCGTCGGTCGTAAATGCTTGCACCATATTACATCCAATCGTCAGCAGCAGGCATGCGCGAGCGCTTCGTTTCAACACTCGCACAGAGCACTATATATATATATACATACTACGATATTATCGCGCGCACAGCGCCCGCATTACGACGGAGAGGAATGGATCGACTTTTTTCGCCATATCGAACAGTGGGATATCCCCCCGATGACACCGAATGAGCTTTCCCGACGTAACCGAGTAACCGTGCGCGGAAGGGTTGCGGATAATAACGCACGGCGAAAGCTCGGGCGATCCCAGTGCTGGGCGTAATTTCATGATATATCCTTCCAAATTTGACGCCGAGGGAATGCCGGAAGAAGATTCACTGGCTTACCGTACGCCATCTCGCGTGCCTTTTAAATGACATCAGTCCACTTGGGTATTCCACAAAAGAGTAGCCGGTTGCCGAAAAGAACGGATGCCGGACGGCTGATGACTATAGTATAAAGCCGGGTGCTAATTAGCAATATGCGAGCGTTCATTGTCTTTCGCCGAACTGCGAGTGTCTTTGTATTAATAAACGCGTAATTTGAAAGCCTCCGCGCGCGTGTATGTATGTGTGTGTGTTTTACTGCCAATAAGCTGCTTTCTCTCTTTCTCTCTGCAAAAATTGAATTGCTCGAGCTTCCGCGGGAGCGGTAATGGCCGCCAGTCTCCAGGGGCCCCTGCACATGTATAAGGCAACTCGCTGATCGCATTTTATTCGGAAATAGCTTCGGATCGCTTGGCTGACATGTTTTAATGAGTGCGGAGAAATTATTTTTGCGAAATATGCTTATTATATTGACATTTTTATTTGGAGTGCCTTCCACTTTCTGTTAACCTCACAGCGAGACCTCTGCCTCCGCTTTGTGTAGCGCACCAAGAAATCTGGCTACGTGGCTACTATTTCCTGCTCACCCAAAACGACAAAGATTCATATTAAATTGGTCTTGGGTTGAAGTTAGTTGAAGGCGAACGTATAGAGAATTAGGTCTCCCCGTCCCTCGGGACGACACCTCTAACAAGTACGCAACACATTGTCACGCGCTGATGCAACTAAGCTTTTCTTTTTTTAATAAATGGGTCACGCTTCAAGCTGCGCATGCGGCGAAAGTACTGCATAGTTTACGACGTGAAGCCCTTATGAAGTCACCTCGACGTCTCTTCCCACTCCGCTTTTTCGTCGCACAAATGCACACGTCAGATGTGCTTAACCCTGTTTCGGATGCACTGCAGCGCCATTCAGGTTTTATATGGATATGTATGGTATTATGTGGTTGATTCCGCGCTCCCCGCCGCTGCACGCTTTCTGTATCCCGTCGGCCAATTTGCAGCAGATCTTAAAAAATGCCGTCGGCATATTGCAGTGGGACCACATTACACATCATTATTATTGCAGCATTGCTCCCTGCTCTGATGTTTTAAATTCGTGCATAGTAATAACCTGCCTTCATCTCCGGGGGGACGGCTACATAGAGGTCTAACACGAGTTATTTTAATAAAATAAATGGGACCGCGGAAAGAGATTTTGCAATTCCCATCTCCTGTTTTGTATGCATACCTTAATGAACTGCCCACGTAAATGTAGGAATTTGGGCGAACGAGGATATTGTACACGAACGCGTGCGAGCGTTCGCTCACGCGCGCATGTGCGGGCGTGTGCGTACGCGTGCTGACGTGCGTGCGTTTGCGCACGGTTAGATGTGCGTACCGTTCATAAGGGAGGAGGTATTTCAATTTTTCAAAAGTGAATGTAATAACACGTTGCCAGTAATTGTAATACAGTCAGTGTAAAATGTGGGTTACTGTATAGTTTACATATATAGCTTTAAACTGGTGTGGGTGTTAAAATTGTTCATCAATGTCTATAAATGCACTGTGTCTCTTCTTCTGTCCGAATTGTCAAATAAGCTCATATATTGTTCTCATCTGACATTCCCAGAATACAAGTACTTAAATGTACATGTAATTAGTTGGGTTGCATACCTGATCAGCAATTTATTAACCAAACCGATATTCATTGCAGTTAGATAATCGCTATTAATTTCATTTCACACAACCCAACCCTACGCGAGACATTTTTATAGTGTGGACCCATAGCAGGGACAGTAGGGACGTGAAATCTGTCATTAAGTAACACATGCCGTTACGCTATGTCGTAAGAGGGTAATGTCTGTTAAATGTATACGACCGTTGTTCGCACGTACTGCATTTTGTTACGTTCCGTCGCATCCGTTCTATTCCCGTGCATTCAGTGAACGTTCCTCTCACAATATATATATATATATATATAATATATATATATATATATATATAAGTTAGTTTTCACGACTAAACGTTAGTTAC